TGTTTTTTTCTGGGAGAAGAGCTCCAGCATTTTGCTGCCAAGCTGAAAGATCCAAGCTTCCTCGAAAAGTGCTCATCTCCGTCTTGTACACTGCGTCAATGTTGGTCCTACTCCAGTCTGCTGTTAAAGTGGACTACCAATAGCGCTTCACAACTTCAGCCTGATTATGATAATGGTCGTGGTTGTAGTTCTCCTCCTTAAGTCGACCATCATCACCTTGGTCTTGTCCACATATAGGAGCAGATGATTCCTGCTGCAGCACACCACAAAGTTATTCACCAGTTACCTGACTCCAACTCCTGGCCATCTCTAAAATGCCCCACCACCACAGAATCATCAGAGGACCTCTGATTGAGAGTTACACTGGAGGTGAACAGAGTGAGCAGAAATGGAGACAGGACACTCCCCTGTGGCACTCCTGTGTTACTAACCACCACATCAGACAGGGAGGTCCTTGGCCGAGCAAACTGGGGCCTATCTGACAGATAGTGAGAGATCCAGGAGACAGTACACCTGCTGACATCCATCCTGAGCAGCTTCTCGCAAGACAGAACTGGTTGGCTGGCATTTAAAGCACTGGAAAAATTGAAAAATATGATTCTCACAGTGCCGCCACCCAGTACCACCCAGGTAAGAGCAAGCATGCTGAAGCAGGTAGATGTCAACATCAACATCGTCCACCCCCTCATTAGGCTTGTAGAGTCCAGAGAAGATTTGATCTGCGGTCCAAGGTGAGCCAGAACCAGTCTCTCCAGTACCTTCATGACATGTAACTTTAGGGCAACTGGTCTGAAATCATTGGGGCCAGATGGGGTGGCCTTCTTGGGTACTGGCATCAAGGAGGATTTCTTCCATAGCTCCGGCATCCGTTCTCAGGAGTGAAGATGTGTCCTTCTAGGCCGCCACCCTGCTGACGGTCTTTGATGTTGAAGCCTGCCCATCACCATGTCCTTGATGTTGTTCTGCTGGAGTTTATTCTCCAGCTTCTGTCCTTAATAACAGTTCACCAAGTAACATTTTTTCCCATTAGTGCCCATCTACTCTTTAGTTTTTTCAATGCGCTATGTGAAAAAGTAGTTTGTTTAGTATGTCTGTGGTTTGGTTTAAACACGCATGCCACAGAAGAGATTATCTTCATTACAAAACAGCAGGGGAGGGTTTGGGGTACCAACTGTGGAGTGGATTTATAATGCTACAAGCTCGTTTTAAGCTATGAAATTGTACAAACATTCCTGCTTTGTGTTTTCTGGTATTAATGCTAATACACCCAGATGTTTCTGTTGTAAATGAGAACAGCAGTAAAGGATCCGGAGTTGGGAAGAATCAAATAATATTCACAACACCAGTGTGTGTGTGTAGTCTCAGTCTAAACAATAAACATCAGAGGCACATCCCTGATTTGTGGAAACTTTGGTGACTATTTAATCTTATCAATAAGTTAAATATTCTATTATGAGAACAGAGTGTAACCCACTTTTGTTTTTTCTTCCTGTTATCTTGTGTTGTTTCTTATCTTCTTATATGAACCGCCTCAATACTGATGGACATTTCCTCATAACTTTTCATCTGAAACAAGACTGCTAACATTTTTATTGATAAACCTAGCGTGAATTAAGTGATGTCTGATGCATGAAATCTATGGACTCATTTATCTTTAAGCTGTAAGATGGTTTAAACCAGAAAACACAGGGTAGAACAAGTCGTAATGCTTCTCTTTCCTGCACCATAAAGCTATTTTTATAGAGGCTATCTATAATATTCCACTATCAGAGATTATAGAAGTTTTATTGTGATCTCCCACAGAGAGATGAGTTTTATGTAGCTTTAGTAAATCATTCCTTTCCTCTGTGAAACCAGCTCCAACGACTGTTTGCCAGTGTGAGTAGAAGAGTTGTGCAGTGTTAACATTTATGAGGTGTAAGCTAATATATTTGAATAGTTTATGGAAGCAGTAAAGTGTGAAATACATAATTTGCTAACATGTACCATGTAAAACAGCTCTTAAAGATGAGCTGTGAATACAAATGCTGATTTCCTATTGTTTAAGCATATTCTATCATTCATGACCAGAAAGGCTCTTTCTCCCCTCTGTACGCCCGCTCACAGTAAAACCCCTCCTGTCATCTGTACAGAATGTGACAACATTCGGAGCGAGAGGGATGGTCAGATATATGCGTATGTATGTCTCTATACATCAGAGAAAGTTGAAGATTGTAATCTTAAAGCTTGGGTTTTGAAACGTTTTTGAAGCTGCCATATATCCAGTCTATAACTGCACAGCTCACTTACATTACGTATCTAGTGTACAGAATTATAAATACATTATATATCATACAACTGCACAAACACAAACTCATCTGAAGGTCCATATTTTCACAAATATTCCATGTTCTTTCTAAATCTTTATATTTAGTTCAGTGATTTTCTTCCCTAATTCATTCATTAATTCTGATGATTTTTATAGGCCTATTTTGTATTCATTGTGTTGGATATATTTCATTTGTAAAGTCACATGACTAATTCATGACAAATTGTCAGTAACCTCTTGGTATATTAGAGCATTTAATATATAATTTATTATAATGTTTATTATTAATTAGTCTTATTCTCGCTCTGCAGCGTCTGGCACTAAATGTAACTGAAAAATGTTGAATGTTCAAAATGAGAGAAAGGATTTTGTCCCCATTTGGTTTGTATCAGTTTTGCTAAAATGTTACAAGAATCTCAGCAACAATTTAAGAAAATACACAAACATTTTGTTATAATGACTTCTATCAATCTTAGCTCTTCATTACCCAGTTCATTTCATGTTAACCTGCATAACAAACAGTGTACAGTGTGCACTAAAAACCATCCAGTTCTTGCACTGTGGTTACATTTCATGTATATTTCTGTGTTTTCAAGGCAATGAGTCCATGACCCGGTTACTGGTACAGGAAGAAGAGTTCAGATTGATGTATTAACACGAACTGTGTTTCTCTCATCATCAGCTTCATTTAGCTCATGATTAACTCCCAATCACGAGGCGTGATTAAAAGTCAGAGTAAAAATATTCCATACATATTTAATATTCCACTAACAAGGAAACCAGCTCCCAAACTGCCAACAAAATAGATATACACCCATAACACACACACACTCCCACATACATCTCTCCTTTCCTTGCCTGAAAACACACACCTAAACATTTCGCGGCTATCTCCCCCACACCCCGGTGCTGGCTAGGTGGAATTAGAAAACCAACCCCGCGGTCTCATTAATTAATTAAACACCATGTGCCAGTGGCACCTGGGTACCGGTTATCACTGCCACTCAGACACACCGTGATCTCAATAACCACCCCACCACAGGGCACTGAGAGAGCAGGGAGGTGGGGGTGGAGAGGAGGGAAGGGACATCGATTTTTCTTTCACAACTTTGAGGTAAAGACAAGAAGAGAGAAAAAGGAGACTTCAGACATCATCTTTCTGTGTAGGTAGCAAAGTGGGACACATTCACTCTGAACTAATACAGAGGAGCCTGGTGAGTGTTTACTGCTGTGTGTTTTTGTGTGTGTGTCTTTGCCGCCCTTACAGGCTCCACGGGACCCTTTTATCATCTGGCCTAGAAGGGGCCCTAAATCACTGCAGGACCGCCCTCCTCATCATCTCCTCTTAATACTTCTGCTTGTGGAAACACTGCAGAAACACACACACATACAAACATATATACACATCTGCTTTTATTCTTGCTCTATTAGCATTTTGCATTCTTAAAGCCGTCTATAAATGAGTAGTGTGGTTCATATTCTTAATTTTTCCCTATTTTTACTCAAAACATATTCACTGTATATTGTGTGCTGTGGAGACATTGTTTCTTCTTGACTAGCGTAATTTAATAATTTATCCAACATAAAGGGTGTTGAAAGTCAAAAACCAAAAGCTCAGGTATTTGCTGTGCATAAAGTGCCATGTAATCTATTATTACTTTAAAAAAATAAGTTAAATATGAAAATCACACATAGGCTCATTAGTTTAAACAAGGACAATATGTATTTCCTATGGTCATGAAAAAAGCACTGCATCTGGCACATTTCCTCTATCCACAGAGCTAAGTCACTAATGCTACACTCGCATATTGTCTTAAATTATATTTTATGCACTACTACCAACTTTTACCATGTTTCATGTCTTATATTGTACATAAAACATATATAGGTGCTCACAAGGCAGATTTCTAAAAACTACCCTAAAATGTCAATAAGTATCTCATAATGAATCTTATTTATTTACGGGGTAGATTAGCAACAATTAATCTGTGTCTGCTATTGAATGGCCAAACAGTGACGGATCAAACAACCAACAACAAAACAAATCACAGTCACAGTTTTAAGTATACAGCTGGGATTTTCTACCTAGACCGAATATTAAATAAAAAAAATTTTTTTATTCTATTTTCACACATAAGAAAATATGAAAGAAAATATGAAGCTCACATACATAAATTGACGTATCTCTGTGATATTCCAAACCTGATTATCTATTTTAAATTAAACCAAGGCCATCGACACTAATTGGACCTATAGGGACAAATAATTTGCAGTTTTGAAAAACAAGCTGTATTGCTGCTGGTTTCTTTGCGTTTCAGCTTTTGAAATTGACTCAGATTATTCAGAAATGTCTGAATCAATATGAGATCTGGGAATTGAAAACTAAGTGCAGGTGAGCCACACATTTTAAACAAACTGAGACAAATGACAGAAACAAATATTTCTGAATATGGAATATGATTGAGGCTCATAGTGTCTGACAGCATATTACAGCATATATTAGATTAATAGGTAACATATTAGGTTGCCTATCATCCTGAAACAGTTACAGTCAAGGCTATCTGTGACTGATGAAGGCATTTTACGCAACCTGATTACGGCGTCTTAATATTTCGAAAACACACTTTAGTCACTCTGTTGACTCCAGCTCACAGCAACAATGGATCTTTTGGGAAACTGGAACAGCATTTTTCCCCAAATGACTCGACAACAGGTGAGCACTAATCAATATATCCAGAGACTTTTTATCTTCATACAGCAGTACCTCCCTATAGTCCTAACAAGGCATGTGCTTGTTTATGCTCGCTGGCCATGTTTTCCTGTATAAGACGTAGTATAAACAGGTACACTTCATTATAAAATAATTTCAGATACAAGCACTTAAAAAACTATTATAGTTCTAATTTTTCGTGTAATTATTCTCAACATTAAGACCTCCTCTCCATAAAGTACGAATACAGTTTTATTACATAGCCTACTGAGTCATTCCTTAGTGCTCAGCTCCAGATTGTTTGCTGAATATTGTCTCACTCATTCTCTTCTCTTGTAATGTCCTTTAATGTTACAGGTAGCTATTAAAATCAGACACATTATTCGATTTCACGTCCTTCCTCTTTTTATTTCCCAGATTTCCATCATAAATATAAAGTTTTTCTCGTCTGAATTCAATGAGTAAAGCAAGCAGAAAGAAAAAAAGGCATGTGGAAACAGTAAACTTCTCGAACTTTTAACCTGTTTGTCTTCAGATTGATCAGAGTGTGTCCACAGCAGAGATTGGAGACCTGATTGAGTTTGTGAACCCATTACTGGGATTGTCTCTTTGGGGTGTTTATGTTGGAGAAGGCCATGTTATCCATTTTGGGGTAGGAGGTAAGAAACAGAAATGTGACTTTATTTTAACCAATTAGTTTTTCTCAAGTTAGCTAGAAATTTTTTTTTCTGCTGTTCACTCTGGCAGAATTTATTTATTTATTTATTTATTTTTATAAAAATAAAACTTCTGTAACAACTTAAATACACCAGATTTATTTTCATCGTTTTCACTCTTACTTATCTCTAGATGAAAACATGACACAGAAAGCCTGCCGCAGCTTCCTTCAGCAAATGGTTCCAAAGTCGAATGGTGATCGTGTTCTGAAGAAGACCAGAATCTGCAAGCAGCGCATTACGGATATCAAAGTGCCTCCAGCAACTCGAATCAGGGTCAACAACAACAACCACAACCTGGTTCCATCACCACTGGAGATGATGACACATCGCTGTGAGACTTTTCTCCACCAGGAGTTCAAGTACGACCTCATGAACTTCAACAGTGAACATTTCGCCACGTTTGTTCGACATGGTTACGCAGTGTGCAACCAGGTGAGTTCAGCCATACTTAAGTGACAGTGACTGAGTGATGTGGTATATTAGGTCTATAAGCAGTCAACCTGTAATTTATTGTGGATCTCCAATTGAAAGAATATTAATCTGCAACTATATTGCTAACTGATTCATTGTTAAAGTAATTTCTCAAGTAATACCAAAACATTTGATGGTTCCAGGTTCTCAAATGAGAATTTGCTGCTTTTCTATTTTTTTACACATATTTTATTGTATGGATAGTTGTTCAAACAAAACAAGACATTCAATGAAATCACCTTGCGCTGTAGGATAATATGATGGCCATTTTTCCCTGTATTGTTATGTTTTATAGTCTAATTGATTAATCAAGAAAATAATCAGCAGGTTAATCAATTATGAAAATAATCATAAGCTGCAGCCTCCAATTTAATGTTCCAATTCTTTACTCTTTTTTAGATTCCCTTTAAGAAAAAGAATGAAGCGCATACAGATACAACTCAAACTCTGCAAATGATAATGCAGCAACGGATGGAGACAGAAACTTGAGATCCTCTGTGGTGCCTCTCATGCACCTCTGTAACACTAACTTAGTTAATGAGGAAAATAAAAAAAAATCCCTCACTGCTACTTTGAGAATGTTTCATTTAACAACTCAAGGCACAATAAAATATGTTCACAGCATTAACAATGTTTCTGTGTCTCTTCACTCACCCACAAAGTCCTTAGCAAACTCTATTAAAGGCCAAAAAAAACTTAACAACAAAGCAAAGCCCATAAGAGTCAGGAAACTATTTGTCCTCTTGTTTATTAAGACTTCAGGAATGTCAATAAGAGCATTTCTATACAGTAGGAGGGCTGAGGAGGCCAGTGCGCAGACACAATGACCTTCTGCTATTCTCCTCGCTGATAATGACCCAGACACAGGCACACTGCCCATCAGCCAGACCTCTAATAAAGCCAAACACTCTCTGTCAGCATCTTGTGAAGCTAAGCTCTGGGTGGACAGGAAGTAGCGGAAAGCATCTTGTTTATCGATCTGAGACTGTGTACTGCCTGATGGCACATAGTTGTAACTACATTCTTCTTCTTCAACCCCCAAACACACAAAGACAAAGACTACTGTAGAAAAGCAAGAAAAAAACATACACAGTGCAAAACATTTCACTCTAACAATCAATCCTTTTGGTACACTCATTTGCTGGGCTCTTGGTTGCCACGCTGCTACACATGCACAATTACACACGGACGCTCGTACACACTTGCAGGGGTGGTATTTTTCCAGAGATAGGGTAGGTAAACTCGTTACTCTTTTCTTAATTAGTATAGAGATTCCATCCTTTTTTTCCTCTCAGCAACCACTGCAAGGGAATGCTGATTAATTGTCCTCTAAGTCCTCATAATACCCCACCACCTACCTGCACATATACACATACATTCTCTGTTAGAAGACATCCACTTCAACTCAGACCCCAGTCTTCAGTTTCACAGTTCAGCAGAGGATCGTTTTTCCACAATTTCACTGGTTTTCTCTTGCCTCTCCTCCAGCTTCACATCACTGGCTCAGCCTGACAATGTACCCATACAGCTGGTCTGAGAAGGCCTGAAGAGAGAACTTATCTTGTACCCTCCTCTTTCCAGCTTGTCCCATGTCCCTGCGGAGCTGTGGCTCCCTGACGAGCCTCTCCATGGCCTTAGAGAAGGCTTCGGCTGTGGGCTCACACAAGAAGCCCGTTTCCTGGTCTGCCACGCTCTCCAGGGGGCCCCCAGAGTTCACAGCGATAACAGGGCAGCAGCAGTACATGGCCTCAACGGGAACTATACCAAAATGCTCTCTGCTCGGGGTGTAGAGCACAGCAGCGCTGCCCCGCAGCAGCGCCACCTTCAGTGAATCAGAAGGGGAGCGCAAGAAAGTGACACAGTCCTCCAAATGGAGCTGCGCTGCCAGCTCTTTCAGTTCAGTGTAATGTTCAACATTCTCAGTAACTCGGTCATCATAGCCACCCGCCACCACCAAGTGAATGCCTGCTCTCTGGCCTGGAGGAAGGCTGCTCCTCAGGGCTGCCAGAGCCTCCAGAGCCAAGCCCAGATTCTTCTTTCTCTCATATCGGTTCAGAGAGAGAAACAGGCAGGAGGTTTCCTCAGGGAGCAGCCCTTCAAGGCCTTGTGCTTCAGTGGACGGCTGGTCAAAGGTACGCGTATTGAGGGAAGGATAGAGGACATCTGTCTGGACTCTACTTAGACTATGAAAGGTCTCCCTGAAGATGCCTGCAGTGAACTGGCTGTTTACCAGAATCTAAGAGGAAGTAGAGAGAGATTAGTTCATAAGGATCTCACATATATCACAGGTCCCTATGAGTTGGATAGCAGCCTGAGGTCTTTGATTATCCTAAAGTCTAGACTAAAATTGAAATGTCATTTCATTTCTATCAGGGCCCTGAGCTTTTACAACAGCCAGTCTGTGAAGATCAGGCTGTATCACATTTTAAATAGTCACTTTAGTTTATTCAAGCTGTTTAAGTCAAAATAATATACCTTTTATTTTAATTTATTCTATTACAAAACTCAAGTCAGTCAGGAAGAGACATGTTAGCCTGTCAAACGACATCTTGGTGAGATAAAAATAAAATCAACTCTGGCTGTATTTAACAGAGCAGTACTTCAGTAGCATGTAAATGCAATCTAATTTGCTAGTAGGCAAAAACAAATTTCAGTTGACACCTGAATCTATTTGTAAGTTGTTAATCACGGATTTGTATAAACTTCAGCAGCAAAGTGCATTGGAGGTAGACAAAATTATAACAGTCAAAACAACTCAATCACAAGTTTTTTTTTGCGTGAAGTCAATCCGTGCCTCTATCCAGTAACAGTTTTTCTTTTTTCTTTTGTATATTTTGGGTGTATATATTGGTATTTTCTTTGTATTGTCTCACCATTGTACAGCAAAAAATACAACTACATCTTTTCATGATTGCAGGGTGTATATAAAAATATATATACATAATCAAGTAGCACTGCTTTTTCTGAGCTGATATTTTCTGCATTTTAAGTATGCAATATGTCATATGCTACATTTACAAACACATCCTTTCCTCAACATACATGCACAAAAAATGTCTTTCATATCACTCGTTACTATAGTTACAATCAGAAATCAGAAATCACTTTACTGCCAACATGCTGCACAAAATGCATCAGCAAGGCTTTAATGTAATATACAGCAAATTAATAATATTAAGTTAGTTTAATTTTTATATTTTACTGACCGCCTTCAAGACATGCACAGGTTTAGCCCTTGACTTTCCTCAGACTCAGCCTCTGAGGACTCTCTGGCCATTCTCCAGTCCAGACAGAATTTACTGTCTGCACCCTTAATACACACCACCCAAGGAACTCAAGAAATCAAACCCCAAGCATATTTTTAAAATAGTTTTAGTCGTATATTTTTAACTTGCCCTAATTAATGTGTCATTTTTATACTGTATTTATGTTCTTGTGCTTTCCTGCTTGCTTTGCATTCGTTACCACGGTTTCAAAAAGATGCCATTTTATATATTTGTTTATTTATTTTTTCATCTAAATGAAATAAAATGACCTGAGTCTTGTCCTGTAACCAGGGCATGCAACAGACAGCAGGACAACTCCAAAGTACTCAAGCAATGTATCAGGTGCACGTTGCAATCTAAACAGATAAATAGTCTTCTTGTTTAATACGGAGTGAAGAAACAAACATGTTTCAGCTATAAGCCATCATCAGTGTCATCAGCGCTGGCATTCCGTTTGTTCCATAACAACCTATTGTATGATACAACCGCTCACCCTCAGCCGTAACGTACCATATCAGCCATGCCCGTGGTGTATTCCTCCAGCCAGTCAATGGGAGCGCGGTAAAGCTTCTTCAAAGTTGACTTTCTCTGGGTCAGCAGCTGGTCTGGGAAGTGACAGTAAAACAGAACCTTCTTCCTGTGACGGGACAGACGCAGCACTGGGATACACACCGACACCTAGGGAGGAATGGAAATTAATTTTATCAAAAAATACAAAAATGATCCTGTCTTCATGGCTAATCAGTAACAAATATGGCAGCTTTGATGTGTGATATAGCAATTAGTGTGAGTTTGAAAATGTCACGAGCGACGTGATGTATCATTTCACACATAGGGAGAGGGAATAAAACAAACAAGTAATAGTCTAAAATGGTAGCTAAACATTTACATATACAGTATACGACTACATATATAAAACATACACTATGTTAATGCTCAACAATGTTGGATAGAAATATTGTAACAGCTCTTTGTGACCTTTGCATAACATGTTTTGGCTGATAATCTAATTAATTTAGGTAATGAAGACTCTTCAAGTGTCACACTTACAGAAGCCAATCCGTGGTTTTCTCTGTAATTATGTGCAAGAGAGAAGGGTGCTACGTGTGTCTATTTGTATGAAAGACGAAACAGTAGAAAATAAGCAAGGGAGTGTATAGTAAAAAGGTGTGACACAAGACAGACTGCTGTTAACAATGGAAGCTATTCTCCGAGAAGCAGAGTCAGTTACGAGATACAGAAGGCTCAGAAGAACTCAGATAAGTGACGACCAAACAGAGACATAGTCAACTCACCTGATCACAGAAGATGACATCATACTCCACCCCACTGAGGAACACCAGGTAGAGAGCCACATAGATCATCCTCAGGTAGGCACACAGGGCATGTAAGTAGCCAAACACACCAGTGGGAAGCCAGTCACCCACACATACCTATTAGAAAAGTAACAGAAACAATGAAGTTACAGTTATTATAGATTCTGCATTTTACATACACTATTCTTTGTCTTTGTTGTGTATCTTCGAGGCACACTATTATGTAATACGGTGTGTTAACTTACTACAGGCAGGTCTGGGTCCAGGGTTTCAGAGAAGCAGTGTGTTGGATCATAATGTGCCGTCCAGATCTGAACACTACACCCCTGAGCCTTAAGAGCGACAGCAGCATCAACCACCAGTCGCTCTGCACCACCAATACCCAGGTCTGGATGGAGGAACACCACTCGCGCCATCCTGCGCAAAAGAATGAATAAAGTGAAACTGGAGTATATTTTCCAAAAACACAGTGCTATTTTGCAGAAAAGGTTTTACATACAATAAAATGTATGAAACATCACTATATTGTGTAGAATGACAGATAAACTGATGACTATGAGCACAGACAGCCAGTAGAGCAAGTAGTGCAAAGAGTCCAAAGCTTATGTTCACAACAGTTGGCAATTATAGGAGTTAACCTTAACCTGTGAGATGCATCAATGGGGGGAATTCATTTTCAGTGGAATTCAAACAATCTTTAACTTGATGTTGTCGAGAACAAATTACTCTTTCCAACAGAAGAAATTCATGAACCTACTCTGATGTCAAGAAAGGAACGTGTCAGAGCTGCATTATTGGCAAACTTAAAGAATCGGTACTTGTGGTTTGTAACTTAATTCAATTTGTAACTTTTAACCTTTAAAGCACTTTATGTCATGACTGTTTAACAGAAAAAGTACATACTACTACTGTCTGCCAACCTCCCTGGCTGTTAATCGTCCCCAGTGGCCCCATGTATTATAAGGAAAACCGCTGGCAGACACTGAATTGCAGGTAAGGACACAAATGAGTCCTTATTTATTTAGCTGTTTACTTAGAAAAGCTAACATGTGTTTTTAGCTACAGAGATAAGATTGTGGATACTAACTAGCCTGTCGCTAATGAAATTATAACCCTGTTAGCCAACCCCAAATAGCCAACTTGATTAACAGTTGTCTTTGTAACTAAACACCACAACTACGTTATAATTTAAACATACTATGTGTTTACCTTTGGATATCTTCACTACCTTGTCTTAGCTTGGAAACCTGGGCTAATGCTCGTCTAGCTTCCCGTAGCAACAAGACCAGCTGCCATGAAACTCTGTCGTGTCGGCGCCATGTTGGCTCAAAATAACCATCTGGATCAGGCTACTCGGACTTCGCGTTAGAACCACAATGGCGCCAGTTTCCCTGACGTAAAGGGGACACGTCTCATTCCAGTTAAAGCGGGTCATTAATTTGCCTTTGGATAAAAGTTAAAACAAGCATCTAAATTCAAGACATTATAAATCGTATGCTTTTATAAAATACGTACAATTTAAGTATTACAAAATTAAACTCCTTAAAATTGATTTTGTGTCTTTCTCTTTGTACTGGATGCGATCAGCCGGTCAGGCTTCTGCTCGGTCGCCCGCTCTGGTCTTGTGTTTTGCAGTCGTGTCCTTTTCAGACAAGCGTCAGCTCTGTGAGATCTCTTCTCAAGTTTTGAGCCGTTCATACACCTACTGCTGCTGCTCATTTAACGTGGACATCGGCTGGGAAAGGGACTTAAGGTTTCAGTTCGCATCTGGAAGAATAAAACAAAATGGTAAGATTCTCAGCTCCATCTTTAACAGTTACTACTGTTAAAGCTAAGCGGCTCTGTTGCACTCATTCAGACCTGAAGTAACGTTTTGCTATGTGTTAGCTCGGTTGCTAACGTTAGCTCATCATTTGTAGACGTGGCTGTTTTTTAGCAGCTCAAACAGTCCCACAAGACATTTTAAGCTGGTTCAAAACAAAATGAATTGCTTGTATATGTTTGTGAACACATTTGGTGGAGACTGTATGTTTACACTAGATGTTGAAAGCAATGAACAGTGTGGACCCTCAGTCAAGGCCTTTACCACCAGTCTCTAACAGAAAACATACTGTACAGTTCAGAATGAAATGTGACTTAGAAATCCAAGAATCATTGTTAAGTCTCTTTATCTGAATGCTGAATGTTACTTTTAACTGTGTATTTATAAAATATGTTTATGTGAGTGACAGACATCTGGTATAATGGAAATGAATCCCATTTATGTTTTATATCTGGTGTTTCTCTTTCAGCCTGGACCAGCAGCAAGTGCAACCAATGTTGGGGCGTCTGGCCGTTCCCCCAGTAAGACAGTGGCTCCCCGTGCAGCAGGCTCCACAGTCAGACAGAGGTATGCACACACTCTACTTGTACTTCTACTGCATTCAACCAAGCAGATAGATGCAGAGGGTAAACTTTCCACAAGTGAACACTACACACAGATGGATGATAAATAAAAGGAAAAGTCAGAACATGTTTCCACACAGGCCACGGTGGGTCTCTGAATGGTCAGTGAAGTCTGAAAATCACATGAATCATATTATATTGCCCTCACAGTCCTCACACTTTGATCCATTTAAGCTGTAGATGATTTTTGGCTGATGTCAATCTTTACCACCATCATCAAAACACCCAGCAAGGGAATATATTTTGGAAGAATGGTGTTCATCTTTTCAGTAGAGTTCAGAGACTTGTAGTGACCCAACACTTTACTGAGACACTTTTTTTCTTCTTAAGCTGTCACACAACTCTTTTTTACACACTAAAGACTACCACTGTAAATGTAAAGCTATTGGTGGTCACTTTAAATCAAACATGAAAGATAAGTTGTGCAATTGTCTCAGCCTGAACACACTCCCCATAATTATTTTCCAAATACCCTCAGCATTGACCCCGCCTGCTCATGTCATCATACTGTAAAGAGTGATAGATGAATTTCACATGGTCCTTCTCTGTATATTTGTGTGCCCTCTGTAGATTGGAGCAGCAGATAGATGTTGTACTGTGGGCTTAATCAGTGTGTAATCAGGGGCTCACTGTCACCTCTCTCATTATGTACCGATACTATCACCCTCTTCATTACCTCATTAACCTCAGTTTAATCTCATCACATGAGTGAAGCAGCCATGAATCACTCCACTCTTTCATCACCCGCTACTGTAGTTGGAGTTACTCTCTGAATAAGGTGTATAATGGCATATATTTTTTGGTAAATGGCTTACGTACATTCAGATTTAATGGTCTCAAGATTCTTTTGAGTTGGTTTTTGAAGCTTGGTTTTCAAAAGTTTGGTTGCAGTTAGTGTGATCATTAAGTTTTGACATACTGCTGGATGATAAGTGGGGGATTGTCTTGTTAAGGCCAAAATAATGAGAAATTTCCTCACTCAAATACTGTATCAGTCTTACTATGGTTACTTTATGCATGTGTGTGTGTTTTCCACAGGAAAGCTACTAGCAGTGGTACACGCAGCGGTGGCAGGACCACAGGATCAGCTGGCACTGGTGGCATGTGGCGCTTCTACACAGAAGACTCACCAGGCCTCAAAGTGTAAGTGCAGCTTATAAAAGCAGCTGCTGTAAAGCAGTTATACCCCCCCCAACACACACTCCACAACATACACACGTACAACAAATTTACCCTTCAATATTTTAACTTACATCCACTCAAAAACAGACACTAATTCACAGGATTTCCGACACTTGCACCTCCATTAATGTCATTTATGTTCATCGGGTAGAATGGGAGGAATGTTTAATGGTAGGAAATTGGGCAGACGCGCCACTGTGGTAAAACAAATCTGTTTCATTAAGTGTGTGTCTATCTACACACACATACAATTATGTGCGTTAGGAAAGCGCATATTTAGAAAACTCTTTAACTCATAAACTTCCATTCTGCTGCATCCTCACCCCAAATATTAGAGAAAGCATCCTGTCTTCTGGTCATAGCCAGCCATGGTTGATCGATGGTGCTGTGGTGGTTATTGAGTGTGTCTCTCCAGCAGTCGAAGGAGGGCAGACTCGCCATACAGTGCTGTATATCGAGTGCATGTTTGTTTCTGCGTTAGACACCGGCCTCAAAGCTTCATTAAAGGATCCACTCTGAAAGGTCAACTCAATTACAGCCTTCTGACAGGGGGAGGAGGGGGGCGCGGAGGAGATGGTTGGCATGGCAATACTGCTACTTAGTGATGCACCCCTCCACCCCTCCCCCAACTCAATCCCTCCTTGACAGATGAGAGCCCCTCCTTGTTTCCGAAGCTCATCAATAAAATCAGCCACTCAACTGAGACTCTCACTTTGGTTGGGGTTACAGAAAATGATGGGATTTTGTGTGTGTCTGTGTATGTGTGTTAATCTGAGTGTTAATCAGTGTGTCTTTGTTGTGACAGTGGTCCAGTGCCAGTGCTGGTGATGAGTCTGCTCTTCATTGCTTCAGTCTTCATGCTGCACATCTGGGGGAAGTATACCCGCTCTTAAGGCCCACCTGATGACCCCTGACCCTGCAGATTGGTTTCTTAACATATTGGACTTGGACCAAACAAGAACCGAACAACAACCTTATGTCCCTTGTTCCCTTCTCCTCTGTCATTACAACACACAGGCACTCAAACTGGATTTTTATGCAACCGTGTCAGTACATGATCTTCATTTGAATCTGATGTTGGTTACCACCTTGCTGTTTTTGTCCACCCATATTTTGAACATCTGATTGGTTGATCCGGAGGAAGCCATGCTACCCCACCTGTGTGTGTGTGTGTGTGTGTGTGGCTGTCCTTCAAAGCAGCAGCAGCAGCAGCAGCAGGTGCTCCCTCCACTGCTGCATGAAGGTTCAGTGCTGTGCTCAAAGACACTGTTATTTTCAGGCCATGAGCAAACATTTTTCCATCTAGCCTGAATTGTATTTTTTTTTGTTAACAGCATTTGTACAAAATGTAATTGTAATATTGTACAATAAAAAAGTAAAAATCAATGCATTCAAATTTAATGTTATTTCATTTTTGAACCCTGTTTTAATGTGGGAAAAAGTCTTTTGTGTCTTCAGTCAGAAAAAAAAAAAAATTCTCACCCATATTTTTAGTGACAGGTGAGGTAGTGTTATCACTTTATACCTTCTGTAACCACTAACAGACTTCTTCCAGACAGGTTTTTCCAAAAGGCATTTACCATCCTTTGTTTCAACAAAGATTGCACTGTGGACGGTAGACAGACAGAACGACAGGAATATTAAAAAGGAACATTTGAGTGTCAAGTTTCAGCATCATTGACAGTTTTAGACAGTTCGTTTAAACAAATTCCAGCTACTTGCAACTTATTTGACTAAGGTTTTGGCATTACATCACTCAATAATCCTATCAATGTTCTTTTTCATCTGTTCAACATTAACTGGCACCTAAAATTGCCTGTATACTCAGTGCAATCAACTTTAATTGTCAAATATGCATATTTGCCATAACAAGGTTACACAGCACTGTGTCTAGGGCAAGAACAATCAGCTGATGTTGTAGGAAAGCATATACCGGCATATATCCAAAGCACAATAATCTGTCACTGAAACACATGAAATCAGTTCTTACTATGTTCCTCAAAAATATTTTTGCACTTTTTGATTGCTTGAAAATGGCTTGAAATTTGTTTTGATGTTAATCTAGAGACTGAATTGCACAATCAAAGGAATAGTAAGTGCATTAGGTCTACCTGTATAATCACTGAAAACCTATCCTGAATGGTTGTCATTTGAATCTTGGCCACGGTGTTTTTCTTTCTTCTCCTGAAGGGGGCGCTGCAGACTATTTTCTGAATATCACTGGCTCCGAGGATATCAGGTCTCATGCTCTCTCTCATGCCTGTCCGGGACAGGTATGAGCACATGTTCCCAGTGGGGATTTTTTTACTCAGTCAAATACTTTGTGGTGTAACATAAAAAAAACAGTCTCCTCCACAAAAGTCTGTTTGATAATAAAGTGGTTCATAATCAGACTTTTTCGTATTGAGGAAATTCTTTTTAGATGAACGTCACTATAATGGAGCTGAGTGGAACAAAATGAAGTGATGAGAAAAAGCTTTAGATTGGATCGGTTTACATCAAGTTAAAGAGTGTGATACGTTCAGAAGAACTTAAAACATGATGTTCAGTGTAGTGAATGCTGCTGGCTGGATGTTTTACAGTTGGAGATGTAGTTCTAGCCCAGCCTGCATCACCAGGTTATCTGTGTTGAATATGAAACCACCAGCTGGCATGGCTTGTGCTTGTTTGTGTCATTGTGTGTGTGTGTGTGTGTGTGTGTGTGTGTGTGTGTGTGTGTGTGTGAGTGTGAGTGTGTGTGAGTGTGAGATCTTGTACCTTGTGTTAAACGTAGCATTCGAATCCTGTTCATTAATTTATTCTGTTGCTATGGCTCTGCTTTCCCACCGGCTTCCAGTGTTCGTGGCAGACTCAGGCACTACTGCCACATCACTCTCCCTCTTGTCCCTGTCCTACACACACACACACACACACACACACAGATACACTCACAAACTCCGCGACCCAATTCACGGTGGCACAACACGGCACTGAGCCAGAATAATTCAACATAACAATTAAATATGAAGGAGCTGTGGTGAAGCGGTCCCTCAGTGTACAGGAGTCAAACAGGCCCAGGCAGCATGTGGAGCACTGTGACCCTCCACACTGCTGCAACCTGTAGTTCCCAACTCCTCTTGGCACCATATATTCAAGTCAACTCAATATTTCATCAAAAGGTAGAAAATTTAGGTAGAAAATGTTTACGTCCTAATGCTGGGACCAAAGTCATCAGTCCTTGTGTTTTGGACAGACAGACAGAGGAATCAATCATGCTGTGAAATCACTCAGAGGTAGAGATGTAAGTACTAAACTCTTTTCTATCGTGTTTCTCTGTGTTCCTCTAGTTTGCAGTGTTTGGTTTTTAGATATGTGGAAATGTTTTTGTTGCAGGCTTCTCAGGGACTCTGTTTGTCAAGCTGGTTACCCTAAGAGCTCTGATTTGAGACACTTATAGTCTTATAGTTACTTTAAAAAGCTGTATTTATCCCGAAGGGGGCAGTTTACCAAAATATTAATCTTTTAAACAGAAATAAATGATCTAAGAATCTGAGTTATGAGTGCGTGACTTTTTGATTCTTTCTTTGATGTGAGCCAGAACTTCACTAAAATAGGTATGTGTTTCCTTTAAATCTGCAGCAAATATTCAGTAAACATTATTCATACAGGGTGACATAGAGAAAACATGGCTTTCATTCATAGGTCATAACATCAGATAACATTATATAACAATTTTTAGGTTCAAAAAAGACATTTAAAAAGCACAGGAGGATAAGTTAATGCATTCAGCTGCAATGTGACTTCTGAAGTCAATCAGGTTGTGAAAAGTTCTTAAGAAACACTGCAATGTCTTTGTTTAAACTGGAATTTACAAGTGAGTGATTTATTCCCCCTGCACATGAGATTATTAGATAAAAGCTGTCTGGATACATATTCATTCTCACTACATCAAAGCTGCATCAGAAGAGATTTCATCAATGTGCATGTTATGTTACCGGACACGCGAAGCCTATATTCATTTGAACATTGAAATACCAGATAACATTTGTCTCGTGGAAAAAAAAAGACAGGAGAGAAAAAGAAAGAAAAAGCAAAGCTTTCTTCAGAGCTCTTCCTCTGTGTCTTTTTCAACAGAACCCATATCCTGTGAAGAAACCACATACTTTTACAAGGGATGGCCCCTTACAGAGAAACAGATCAGCATATACACACACACACACACACACACACACACACACACACACACACACACACACACACACACACACACACACACACACACACACAATCTTGAGAAGACTTGTAAATAGGTCATATGTATTTTCTGTTCTACATGACACATGTTGCTCCTTGGTTCAGCGTGAAAAAGAAAGTTTCAGTCTCTCTCTCTCTCTCTCTCTCTCTCTCTCTCTCTCTCTCTCTCTCCCTCCTCTCATCCATCACCACAGCTATCAGGATATCAGATGGGGCAGAGGGCTTGTGATTTGAAACTCTTCTTTCCTGTCAAAGACTATGCAGAATATTCTGTTTTTAGATGAGTGTGAGTACCCAGTCTTGCATGCACGCATGTCAAGTATGTGTGTGTATTCTTGAACAGATCACACGGTTGGTAAAGCGTGGAATGAACGGACAGACGAGTGGAATCGATCCTCACTCACTGACCAAGTGCGTCCTGAGGGATGTCCTGAAAAATGAGGGCTGGTGGACGGGATGTAGAGACACCTGTGACAGAATCTACATTGTGAAATGGTATAAATGCTGTGCACAGGCCCATCAGCGAACTAATTTCATCTATAGAGATATGTTGTAGCATTCCAGTATTGTATCATGTATCATGAGCTTATTGTATGCTTTGCTTGGAAAATTGTGACCTACAGGAACAAGCTTTTATTGTGAAATGAAATCTCATTCTACCCCTTATTGTTTAATGACTTTTACTTAACTAATTTCTCTACGCTTTATTTATTTTATTGTGAAATGTATATAATTTATACTGCAATATTATTATAATAAATTGCTTATATCATTTATACCAGTGCCTCAAAATTCTACCAAACTATAGCAATTAAATACATGCACATAGTTACTGTTAGTTATTGTTACTTTCGTCTTCTGGGTCAGAACATTGAAGCAGAATGTATTCATGTTTATTAATGATTATATGTGCTCATGTTGGACCAGTTGTTGTGATCATAAGACCAGTGATCAGGCAGTGATTAGTCAGTAACATTGCAGCCAATTGGTGCAACACTCTCTTAATGGCCAGTGACCAGTAGCACACACTGATCTGCTGAGAGGTGAGAGCTTGTTCACTGTAAAATAATCTGACTCCATATTCTGACATCTAGATCACATGGGCACTGTCATATGTCCTGTTATGTGGGTCACAGAGGTTGGAGGGAGAGGGGACACACAGAGAGAAATTGTGAATGTGTGTGTGTGTGTGTGTGTGTGTGTGTGTGTGTGTGTGTGTGTGTGTGTGTGTGTGTGTGTGTGTGTGTGTGTATATGTGCCAGCTGGAGGCTCCCTGATCTTTCTGGACTTAGATCCTCTTTCAGATAGAAATAAGAGAGTCAGACTTGGATCCAAAGCTGAGTCTGCATCTATCAGTACCTCATCTTGCTCTCTCTCTCTCTCTCTCTCTCTCTCTCTAATCCTCTATGTGATAGTCCATACACTTAAAAAGTCTGAATAACTGCTTACATTTCTATTAAGTTATATTCCATTTACATTTTATTATTATTATTATTATTATTACTATTATTATTATTATTATTATTATTATTATTATTATTATTATTAATAATAATAATAATAATAATAATAATAATAATGAGAACGATCTATGTTGATAACAGAACATTTACAGTGACAGAAAAGGTTATTTGTGTCTTTGGTAATACTTTACTGTAGTATTTTTTTTCATCTTTTTATTGTCATCTATCATACTTAAACACAGCACATTGATGGCTATACTGCCCGTTGATGTCAAAGGTCAATTTCTCAGTCAGTTCAAGTATTTAGAGTTAGTATGTCTTCATTTTAACCATTCATAGACTTACAACCATTCACACATATTAACTGGTCATGAATAAGCAGTTCAGTGTCTCTTGCCTTCTTCTTTTCCCAACTATGAAGTAGCTGGTCCACAAAAACAAATAAAGCAAAAAATAAATTATCTGTAAACCATGACAAGTTAATTTAAAATTCCGGCACCAGCTGTGTTTGGCAAACTAATG